AAGTGTAAGTAGAAGTAGCAAGACATGCCTGTAATCTTGCATATTTATGAGACAGACAAAAGACACCAGCAATCCTACAATCATGTAAAACAATTGCAGGCTTTCGTTTTACACTCACTTGGCAGGACGGTAGTACTTCTCTGGGTGGTTGCTGTCTACCAACCTACTACTACTAATTATTATTATTATAATTATTATTATTATTATTATGATGATGAAGTTAACCATAGAATTGATGAAGGAAAAAAGGCATGTGGTGCGTTGAGGTATATGTGGAGACAAAAAACATTATCTATGGAGGCAAAGAAGGGAATGTATGAAAGCATAGTAGTACCAACACTCTTATATGGGTGTAAAGCTTGGGTTGTAAATGCTGCAGCGAGGAGGTGGTTGGAGGCAATGGAGATGTCCTGTCTAAGGGCAATGTGTGGTGTGAATATTATGCAGAAAATTCAGAGTGTGGAAATTAAGGAAAGGTGTGAAGTTAAAAAAAGTATTAATCAGAGTTGGCTGAAGAGGGGTTGTTGAGGTGGTTTTGGTCATTTAGAGAGAAAGATCAAAGTAGAATGACATGAGAACGTATAAGTCTGTAGGGAAGGAAGGCGGGTATGGGTCCGTAGTTCAAAAAGGTGGAGGGAGGGGGTAAAGGAGTTTTGTGGGCGAGGGGCTTGGACCTCCAGCAAGAGTGCGTGAGCGTGTTAGATATGAGTTATGGAGGACAATGGTATTTGTGGACCTGATGATCTGTTGGAAGTGTGAGCAGGTAGATATTTGTAGTGAAGGGATTCAGGGAAACCGTTTATTTTTACATAGCCGGACTTGATCCTGGAAATGGGAAGTACATGCCTGCACTTTAAAGGATGGGTATCAGATATTAGCAGTTTGGAGGGATATGTCGTGTATCTTTTTATACATGTATGCTTCTAAACTGTTGTAGTTTCTGAGCAGCCTCTGCAAAAATAGTGATTATGTGTGAGTGAGTTAAAAGTGTTAATGAATGAAAGTATTTTCTTTTTGGGGAATTTCTTTCTTTTTGGGTCACCCTGCCTCGGTGGGAGACGGCCGACTTGTTTAAAAAAAAAAAAAAAACAGGAAACCGGTATTTTTTATATAGTCGTCATTTGAGTCTTGATAATATGGGATGTACAATGCCTGTACTTAAAGGAGGGGTTTGGGGATATTTGGCAGTTTGATGGATATGTGTGTATCTTTATACGTATATGCTTCTAAACTGCAAAAACAGTGATTATGTGTAAGTGAGGTGAAAGTGTTGAATGATGATGAAAGGTTTTTCTTTTTGGGGATTTTCTTTTATTTTTGGGTCACCCTGCCTCGGTGGCAGACGGCCGACTTGTTGAAAAAAAAAAATACAAAATCAAAATATTAGTATGGATAGTTTAGTAATCTCTAGGTAGTAGGTTGGTAGACAGCAACCGCCCAGGGAGGTACTACCGTCCTGCCAAGTGAGTGTAAAGCTGAAGCCTGTAATTGTTTTAAACGATGGTAAGATTGCTGTTGTCTTTTTTTTATCTGTCTCATACACATGCAAGATTTCAGGTATGTCTTGCTACTTCTACTTACACTTAGGTCACACTACACATAACATACCAGCATATATATACACACCCCTTTGGGTTTTTTCTTCTTCTATTTCTTTATAGTTCTTGTTCTTGTTTATTTCCTCTTACCTCCATGGGGAAGTGGAACAGAATTCTTCCTCCGTAAGCCATGCGTGTTGTAAGAGGCGACTAAAATGCCGGGAGCAAGGAGCTAGTAACCCCTTCTCCTGTATATATTACTAAATGTAAAAGGAGAAACTTTCGTTTTTCCTTTTGGGCCACCCCGCCTCGGTGGGATACGGCCGGTGTGTTGAAAGAAAGAAGTTTAGTAATCTATAGTAGCTATGATTCTAACACTTAATATGGAGGCTTCTACAGTCCTCACTCTACTAGACAGCAATATATATCTATGAAGAGATTCAAAAAAAATAGTTCAGCAGATGGAAGTTTTAGAAGACTGGCAGGTACAAGTTTTACATTGTTGATGCATAGGATTTATGTAGATCTCAGTAAATATTAGACCATGAAAGACATCTAGAGAGTAAGTGATAGAGATTTTTTTTTTTTTTCATTTTTGGGGCCTTGATGGGAAATGGTCGTGTTAAAAAAAAATTAACATATAAAGCAGACTTAAGCCATCTAGTATTTTTGTACTCATTATATTTTCACTTACTTGTTCATACCAACTGACAGGGCACTGCCATCATCCTGCTATATAAAAAAGATTATATGTGACCTAAGTGTCTCATTTTCATTCAAAATGAGAATACACTTCAGTAAAACAAGAATCTAGGAAAACTATATTTACAGTGGTAATATTTATAATGCGAGAAAAAACTACATTTGCAGTGGTAAATAATTTAATACCATTCAATGGTTACCTCTTATTTTTAATACATAACCATACTTATACATAATGGACCTGCTTGCTCTACTTAAAAAGTACGTATACAGAACCAAAAAAAAAAGTTTTGCAATGAAACCGTTTAATTTTATAGATACTTAGGCAATTCTCTTATTAGATTCAATGTCCTGACTCACCAGCCATCAAGGTCACAAAAGGCCAATCAATATTTAACTACCCAAAATTTCCTGTTAACATTGCCTGCCAAGTCATACAGACATCTGCCAAAACCTTATTTTCCCCATTATGACAAGTAAAAAGACAAATGCCTAAAGTCCGTTATTTGTACAATGCTGAGTGAAATATTGCACAAGTGAAGGACTCACTGCAATTGTCTTTTTCATAACTGTTGGGAATTTTGCTACTGTTTTCCACTAAAATAATTTATAGATTAAATCATTTGAATCTTTCACAACCTACCCCTAGCTGAAATAGGGTGTGTCTATCTCCACACTGGACATCCACAACTTTTTACAATGCTCACGATTCCAGAAGTCCAACAATCTTGGAGAGGCCTGAACATTTCACCACATCTTTGGTATCTCTTGTTTACTCTATCAAGTAAAAGGGTTTGGAGTCTCTTCTTTTCTCACTTTTCAACATTTTTTCGGCACCAACATTTATGTTCAAATGATCCGAAAGATTGAAATGATTACTCTGAGATTTGGATGGGAACCCTAACTGTCGCACTCTCATTCCAACCTCCAAACATAGCGCGGAATCTCCGCTGCTGCTTAATGCTGTAAAAAAATTTAGGGATGGTAACAATATTATAAAGAGAGAGCCATAGGAAATGTTAACAAGAATAACTGTTAACCAAAAATTATACAGTATTATCATTTATGGGACTCCTAATTTTGTGTAATGTAAATTTAAGTTATAAACTGAGAAGCTGCAAAGAATAATTAAAATATTGTAAACAAACCATTATTCATTTTCGACCTTATGAGGGTTCCGAACATAACCCCATCATAAGTCAAGAAGCACCTGTATATAGATGATAGCTAGTGATACTCTTTGGGTGGTAGTATCCAAAAATACTATATATTTATTTTATCTTATTCATGACCCACAAAGTAGTTATTTATCTACTGTTTTATTTAGCATATCATAATCATTTTCAATTTACAATGGTTTTCATCAGAACGTAACCCCATCAAAAGTCAAGGAGCACCCTGTAATCAATGATACTAGCGATAATTTTAAATATGCAATATCTATATATACGTATATATATAAGGCTCCAACAGAGTGCCATCCTCCGCACCACAACAGATGCAATGTAAATACCCCCTGGAGGTGCTCCCACAACTCAGGTTTTTCCCTTTGGCATATTCTCCAATGCCTAATTTGTCCACGCCTGAAAATTAAGCTAAATTATATTTGAAATTATAACTCTAAAATATGGGAAAACCTTGATGAAATACCTAACTGTATATAGATTTTATAAATTGTTAAATTAAGGCATAGATTAAGAAATTATATAGATATAGAATTCTGTAGAAGTAACTATATAAACTGTATGTCAAAATCGACCTTACAACAGCATACAAAGCAATGATTACTCTAGATGGTCCAAAATACAAATACAAACTGAAGCAGACTTTGCAAAGCATCCCCAACACCTTGAATCTAAAGAAAAAATATATCACTTCATATAACAAAAAGGGTTGCTTATGAGAATCACCATTCAAGGTTGCCTTGATGCTGGCCAACGTGTTTTGAGTCAAACACTTAATAACCTCCCATTCCCCATCTACAGTAGGATCCATGTGAGTTTAGTAATTTTCTATGAATATACTACTGTCACCCCTCTTGGAGAGACTGAGTGAGTGGATGGTGAAAGTTTTTTTTTCTTCTTTTTTTTTTGGGTTCACCCTGCCTCTAGAGAGAGAAACTGGTGTGTTAAAAAAAAAAAAAAGTTAAAAGTCCTACACACCTGAACCTGAACCTCCCTTTGATGAATAAAGAATTATTTACTGCTTTAGTAACCTACCACCTATTTTCATACATTTACTTGCCTCTGCTAAACATACGGCCCTAAGTCAAGACCCTCTTATTAGCCTTTCCTAAAGCCAACAGTGCCTACCCTTTTTAGGTTACTGCTCACTTACTATATATGCCTTCCAGTGTAACACTTCTTATACACATCCCCTACTCCCTCTACCGTAAATCTCCCTGTTCCTCTAAAATCTTACTTTGTCTAATCCTGACTCTCAATTTATAATAATTTCTATCAATACTTTACCTGGTATGCATATTTAACAGCTTATTGGCCTATAATTCTTGACTTTCTCTTGTCCCATTTCCTCTTTAGTCCAAAGGAATTACAATATGCTCTCTCTCCATCTTTAGTAGCTTTCACCCATGACTGTATCCTCACGAATTGTTTTTAGCATCCTATAATTACTCCCATCTGACCTAGCTGCTGATTACAATTCAACAGAAACTTCAGTTAAGCTGTAAAAAAAAAAATTATCAATTAAAAGTTATTAGTTGCTGATTCTGATCTGTAGTTAGTTCATACAAACATTTATACATCATACCGGTACATTAAAATAGTCATTAAGGGTCACACCTTTCTAACAATGTGCAAAGTGAATATTACTTCACTACTATACGCACATTCCACCACCCCAAGTGAGGACATCTCCATTTGTTGTCAGTGCCATACTATGTTCTTTTCCCACTGCAACTTCAGTAACTTTTAACCCAAGTGAGATAGGAATGCTGCCAGAATACATTTTTCCATCTGTTGGGATACAATAAATTTAATATTTTTTTATGGTTAGCTATGGTGCTATAACTTCTTGCTACTTCAGAATGCAAAATTACCCTATTTTAGGAAAGGTGATACTTGCATTAAAATATCTTCTTGGTTCAAGGAAGCACATAATGCTGATAATAACAAAGTTGAAATTGCAAACTGAGAGCAAAACATTATCTACCAATAAAGTCTTCTACCAATCTGGCATTTCAACTGTACAAAACTTCTTAATGTTGATTAATACACATTACATGATTAAACTAAGACAATAATGTAATATTATCTACATACAGCTGAAAGCACTGTACAGTACTGGTATATTTTGCACCAGGATAATAACACTCATAGCCTACATTTGCCATTTTGTCTCATTTCATCCATTATTATATCCATGTACTGGCCAGTACGGTAAAATAAGTAGCCACACACAGTACAGGTCAACCATCACTAATCCGGCATAATTGGGACCTGCTGGGTGCCGGATTAGTGATTTTGTCGGATCACAGAGTGGTGCAGACCTTTTAGCATTTCATCTATCAACTGAATTTGAAATTACGCTAGCTGAAATTAGTGATGGAACTGGATTTGTTTGCCAGATCAGTGATGGGCACCTGCAGTGACCAAATAGGAAAGCTTCCACAAAGCTGGAGGTGAAGGTGTGTATGTCGGATCCTTTAAGGGTCTATTTTCAGGAATGTGTATATAAATGCTGACATATTCATCAAGCTTCTTGAATGGCTAATATGATGAATAATTATTATTTTAAAGAACATACAGTACTGTATAAATTTTATATTTAAATTTAAATTATTTATGTTACTAAAATTAATAAAAGAATGAAGTCAATTTTAATTTAACAAAAGCATCCGACTTGTAATAAATATCAGTACAGCCTCTTCTCACTTAGAGACGTGTACTCATTTACCGACGACTCAGACTTACGATGGGCTCTCTGACCAGTATGCATACCTCAATAATGGATATTAGATATACAGTACACTACTGTAGAAACATTTAAAAATATACTAAATATTTTATAAATGGTACAAAGGTGACATTAACCCTTTCAAGGTTTCGGACATACTACTACGGCTTACGCACCAGGGTTTTTGACATACTAGTACGCCTAAATTCTAGCGCGCCTCAAATCTATGAGACAAAGCTGGTAGACCTACATATAAAAAGAAGGGGTCTATGTGGTCAGTGTGCACAGTATAAAAAAATCCTGCAGCACAGTACGTAATGAGAAAAAAAAAAACTTTGACCGTGTTTTTGGATTAAAACAGCGACTTTGCACTGTATTTTCGTATCGTATTTATTGTTGTATTCTAGTTTTCCTGGTCTCATTTTATAGAATGGAAGACATATTACAGAAATTGAGATGATTTTGACTGGTTTTACAATGAAAAGTACCTTGAAATTGAGCTCAAAGTAGCAGAAATGTTCGATTTTTACCAAAGTTCGAAAGTAAACAAATCATGCTAAGTGTCCAATACACTCAACTGGCGAGTCTAATATTCTTTCACAAGTGCGCCGATACTATTTATACCCTTTCTACACTAATGCAAATAGTCTGCATAACAGTAAATCTTCTATTTTTTGTGAGAATAAAAAATTCAAAATGGAAAGCAGAAGAATATAAGAGGGGCATGGGGACATGACTAATGAACAGAGGAAATGTTATTTTTAGTGCCAGGAATGTCTTTCTTGTTTATTCTGGACCCTACTTGGAAATTGGCATCTTTTGAAATTTGTGTGAAATTGGCAAAATTGCTAAATTTTGACCACTGTATTGGATAGTTGTAATTGGTAAATGGGTGGTTTCTCTGTACTCATTTGTAAAAAAAAATGGAGTTCTACAAATAGTTATTATTTTTTGTCGACTAGTACACTGGAATTGGCTGAAAATTGGGTCTTCAAAGTGGGCAAAATCGCCAATGCGTAACATCATTGAGACTGCTAACTTTGCGAGAGCAATAATTCCATAAGTTTTCCATCAAATTTCATGCTTTTGGTGTCATTATGATTGGGAAAATATTCTTTTATCTTTCATAAGAAAAAAATTATTTTTTTTTTTTGAAATTTGGGGGACCCTGAGAACAAGTCTCTGAGGGGGCCTGTGGACCCTGAAAGGGTTAAAACAATATCAAAGATGGTTGACACAAATCCAGTACCATTATAGTATGCTCCTAGCTTAGCAATGACTTGTTTACCCGACGTGGTCTTAGTAACAAACTCTGTTGTTAAGTGAGGAAAGGCTGTATTGTATATAGATGACTTACCTTTACCAAGTGCTAGAAGAACATTATCTTCAACAGCAACATGGCAGAAAACTATATGGGGCTTGTTGGATTCGAGAGTTTGCATTCCACAACTTGCATTGTGCAACTTTTCCTGCATCATTTTTTTTCCTAATACTGTTATCCTGTAATTTACTGGCATTTTTCTCTTACCCCTACTGCAAGGCAATTCCTTTCATAGAATCATCCTCCACAGATACCAGTGACAATCCATCACAATCTTCTTCAGTTTTCTTATGATCGGAATTAGTGCAACTTTCATGTTCCTCCTTTCCAATTAGATTATCTGAATACCTCTGATTCTGGGTGCCTGAATAAACCTCTGCAGCAGCATCTGTTGCTTCAGTGTAAATCGTTTTGGAAGTGCAGAGTCCTCCATCCCTTGTCCTCCCACACAACCAGAGAGCCAGTACTACTGATTGCTACAGTACGATTTCTCACAGATGAAAACCTGAAGTAAATTATCATGCAGTAAATATCAGGCCCTGACAATAGTAAGGGCAAATTCAACATCTTGACCAGAGTCAAACTGGCTGTAAAACAATAACACAAGAGCATGGGCCAATAGGCCTGGCAAGTGCTCCATCTTATGTTCTTATATTTTGTCTATCACACTTTAGCTATTTCCTACCATGACAGGATGATCCATAGAAGGAAACACATTCACCATCACTCATTCAGTAGCTATTTGCACAGTGTTTTTGTAGGTAATTACCAAATTTCAAATGTTGAGCTTACCCTAATTATAACATTATCTATCAACTTCAGCTTCCCCTGTCCAGATTACAGTGTAACAGTAATACAAAATCCTATTTGGGGTAAGCCTGAAGAATGACAGAAACCTTTATATCATATGTATCTTATTGGAAAACAAAATTATTATTATAAAATAATGCTCAGTTATGAATAGTGAAAGAAACCAACAAAAGAAAGGTAAAAAGAATGGAAATAAGTGCGATTGTTGATGTGAGAAAGAAAAATTATCAACAAAATTGTCTGAAACCCTTTTTGCAAAATTTTACTTTTTTTAAAATTCAATAAATAGAAAAATACATATTGTAGGGGGGTAGAAGCAACCACCCAGGGGGTACTACCGTCCTGCCAAGTGGGGGTGTAAAAAAAAAGCCTGTAATTGTTTTTTCATGATGGTAGAATTGCTGGTGTCTTTTGTCTGTCTCATAAATATGCAAAATTACAGGTACGTTTGCTATTCTACTTTCACTTAGGTTACACACACTTTCATGTACACATTTATTTATACACCTCATCTGGGTTTTTTTTGATTTTTTCTTAACAGTTCTTTTTTTTATTTCTTTTCCTTTTATATCCATGGGGAAAGTGAAAAAAGAATCTTTCCTCCGTAAGCCCTGCTGTTGTAAAAAATCAAAATAAAATGCCGGGGGAAAAATGGGCTAGTAACCCCTTTTCCCGAAAAATTACTAAAAAGAAAAAGAAGAAGAAAATTGTCAAAGTGGGATGTTGAATGTGCATGGTGTTGTGCAAATGATAAGAAAGAGATGATTGTGGATGTTTGAAAGAAAGAAGCTGGATTCCCGGCTTTAACCCTTTTTAGGGTCCGCCCGTAGATCTACGGGTTTACGTTAGGGTCCAAACCCTAGATTACGCCATGGCTCGCTCACTCTGATAAAAAGTGAGTGGGACATTTGGGCCTAGATATGAGAGAATACATCTATGTGGTATTTTTGCCCCACATAAAACAGACCGCAGCACATGTTTAATGAGGAAAAAAAAGAAATCATGATTTTTCGATTAAAACAGAAATTTGCAGTGTTTTTTCGTATGTTTTTTATAGTTTTATTTGCGATTTCTTGGTCTCATTTGATAGAAAGGAAGACATATTACAGAAATAGAGATGTTTTTTGTTGGGTTTTTAGCACTGGAAATGGCTTGAAATGAGCTAAAGTAGCAGAAATTTTAAATTTTTCCCGAATTCAAGAGTAAACAAACAACCTCCACGTCTAATACACTCAGCTGGTGGGTCAAATATACATTAAAATATGTGATGTTTTTTCAATTTTTACAAAATTGCATAACAGTTTAAAACTTTATTTTTTGGTGTGAATAAAATTCATATGTGAATAAAAAATCAAAATGGAAAATTTATTTTAAAAACCCGAAAAAAATAAATAATGAAACCGGGAAAAGTTAGTTTAGTTCCCGGAATCCTAATGTTTTTTTCTGGAGCCCTTTTTGAAATTGGAATATTTGACTTTTTGGGTTTAAAAGGCCCAAATTAACAATTTCCGAACACTTTTTTTTTGTAGTTGAAAAAAGTTGACTTGGCGATTTCTTTGCTCAATCGATAGAAAAAAAGTTTAAAACTAGTGAAATAGCTAAGAATTTGGTTGATTTGGGAAAAATGTAATTGCCTAAAATGGGAGTCAAAGTCGGCAAAATGCCAGCTTAAATATCCTGACACATCAAAATTCGCGAGGCATAATTTCGTCAATTTTCCACCAAATTTGTACTTTTTGTTTTTTTACCTTTACAAAAAGATTCTCTACGATTTCATAAAAAAAAATAACAAATTTTTTTTTTGAAAAATTTTTGGACACTGGTGCGTATCCAGATTTGGGCCTTGGGCCCGAAAGGGTTAAATGAAACAGAGCTGAAAGGGGGGGGGGGGAGAGTTTTTAGTGGAGAGGAATAAATGGGATTAGGTCAAGGGTTTCAAATGTGTTTGAGCTAAAGAAGGAGTAGCATAATGTGAAGGGTAATCTATGGCAGGAAAAAGGGACTATAAATGCATTAATTCAAGGATTAAAATAAAGGTTGGGTGTGAAAAATGGGTTTAGTAACCATATATACCTGGGGAAGAGAGAAGTGTAGGGAGGAAAAGAGATTTTTGGGAAAAATTGAGTGAAAGCATGGGGGGTTTTGAACCAAGGTGAGAGTACTTGGGTTGAGGATTTCATTTCTAAAGTGGTAAAAATGTTTGGGGGGTAGTAGGGAAATTTGGGGTGCCAGGGGTAAGTGAAAAAAAT